ATTCTAGCAAAATGTATAATATAGAGATAGAAGCGGGCATTCACCAATTATATGTGAAAATATTTTATAACTGACCTCATTGCGTGTTTTTTTTTGTCAATTGCTTAAATTCACTCCTGATGTATTGAAACAAATTCAACAACAGAGAGCAAAGAATATTTATTAAAAAAATAGTGCTAGACTACAAAAAAATAAAGCCGGTGCCTGTCAACATGTGAACAGTCAGTAAAATAAAAAATAAATGACACTGATTTGGTCATTGCTCATTCACCAAGGAAAGTCGGTTTTTTTTTTTTGCCAACTACGAAAACAATCCACTGTTCATGAAACAGGACAATGACTATTAGCAAACCATAACTTATTTAATTTCATTAAATTACACGGTGCCAATGTTATCTTAAAAAAAATACAGAAGCACACAAGCTTTGACGACGAGATAAAATGTCATTCATCTCAGATGGGCACTGAGACAAAATAAAAATGCCCAGGATGAATGTAAACAAGAGCAATTGGAACAAATTCATTGGTTTATAGTTGTTTTTAATGGGGAAAATTCGATCTAGATACGAGTGGATCGAGACACAAGTGCTGTTGTAGATCAGATTATTAAACTAGTATCTAGGGCATACGTGTCAAACTCAAGGCCCGGGGGGGGGGGGGGCCAAATGCGGCCCCCCGGAAAAGAAGAAATTCAAAGTTTTTATAATCAATCAAATAATAATCAATTGCAAAAACATGTATTAGTCTGTGTATTATGGAGTAGTTACATCTATATCAGCGGTCCCTAACCTTTTTTGTTCCAAGGATTGGTGAGCCAGTACCACCCATTAGTACAGACCTGTAGCAAGGTGATGAGCATTGGATTTTCAAAATAAAACATCTTTTTGACTCTATTCTGTTTGTATCAGTCTGAATGACTTTTATTTTAAATTTATTGACAGATTATCCTTAAATAAAGAAAGTAAATGGATATGAGTGGATCTTCTTTGAATGAAGTAAATCAGTAAAAAATTAAGTACATTTTTTCCAATGTGTTCCACTGCGGCCTGGTATCAAATGACCTACGGACTAGTACTGGTTCGCGGACCAGGGGTTGGGGACCCCTGATCTATACAGTCTTCCATTTACAACCGGCCCTTCAAATGGAACTGTATTGCTCATGTGGCCCCCTGGTGGAAATGAGTTTGACACCCCTGATCTAGGGGGTCCACTTTGTGTATGTATGTGTAGTCTGAGAACAGGAGATTATGGAGATTTATGAAAATACACACATTTCTAATTAAACCCAGAGAAATTTGATGTCTGTAGAAAATAGTATGCGTAACATATTTAACCCTAATCTCGGTAAAAGCAAAGCTGGGCATACCTTCTTCACCTCCATGTTGGCTCTTAAGCTATCCTGTACTGTATGGGGCATGGCCAGGACAATGCTTCCAGCAGTCGAAGGAGTGCGGGCTATGTGGGCCTCAGCAATAGTCTCCATGCGAGGGCGCTTGGCCTCCAGTGGCTCATGCTCAGGCTGGGCTGTGATGGAGTGAAACTGCTGTTCGTAACCATGGCGTCTCTCTGGAGGCCTGTAGAAGAGAACAACAGTTAGAGTGCAACAGTGCAACAGCTTTAAGCGGGGTGAAAAAAAGGAAAAAAAAAAAAAAAAAAAAAAAAAAAAAAAAAAAAAAAAAAAAAAATTTGCCGACATTCAAAAAGCCAGCGCATGCATGTTGTACACTATATGTATTTACTTAATTTATCAAGTTGTTATCGTGATTAAAACTGTTGTGTTTCTTTTGAACTGGTGTTCTGGGTTTGTTATGTACCATGCAGAAATACAATCGAGGTACTCTGTGAATGAGAACACAACACAAATTTGCAAATCTTTGCAACTTACATTCAGTTACATATATTACAAAGACATTATTTTTAAGGTTAAAATAAAACTTGGTTTCCGGTCAGATAGTTTTTATGCAAATATTCACTCGTTTTAAGGTTTTCACAAATTTTCACAAGCATCTGTTTGTGGGGTGTAAGACCAGACATGGGCAAACTAAGGCCCGCTGTCTAAATTATATCATTTATTTATATAGAAAATGATAAAAGCATTTTAAAGAACAGTATCTTTTAACATGCAACTGCAAGAAAACTAGGGATTTCATTATCACCAGGCTATAAATAAATCATAGAATTAAAAAAAATACAGCATTGCATACTGGTGACCTTTGATCCCTGAGGTAGTAATAAAAACTGACATTTTTTTCTGAAAAGGATATGACCTCCCAGACAGAGTAACACAATTCAACATAAGCTGTACGTGATAAGAAAAACAGTTTTGGAATTGGGTTTGTAATGCTTGTGTTCTTGACACTTGGAAACATCATTCCTGAACCACAAATGGCCTCCTTCCTGCCTTACTAAGTGTACTTTAGTTCAATACTTTATCCATCCATCCATCCATTATTTACTCATACAAAGGTAAATATTAAAAAGTGACCTGCCACAATACTGCATGAATCTCAGATACTGCATCCACAAAACAATGTAATGCCACCTTTTTATCGTCACACACCAACTGACATCGAAACACTTTTCCGTACAATATTTACCTTTCAACTCCAGGGTGGAATTCAGACAATAAAGACGGTCTTCTACGTCCCTGAGGATCCTGAAGGTGAGAGCGATAGTCTGGGACCGCAAAATCCTGAAGAAGAAAAGTACACGGCACAATCACAGTGTGTACAGTGCTTGGTAGCCTTGTCTGTCTAAATGAATTAGAAATAAACATAGAAACTAATAGTGTATTTGCTCTATAATAAATAGGTTTGGACTTCATCATTTTTGCACTGAAATGAATTTCACACTCGAATCTCCTAGCTCTGACTTCATTTTACATCAGGTGGCTCTGCTCAATATCCCAGCCCATGATTACCATAAATATATAAATACTTCAACTAGTCATATCAGAACAAGAACTCTTGAGGAATATTTAATAACACATATAATAAATTGTTTTCGTCATGTTCTGATAATTGACCGACACCATCGTTTCGCTCTGCGCATGTCCTTGTCCTCGCAGAATTGCGAGACTGAACAGGAGCTCAGCTTTGCGTATATAATAACTTAAAATCTTTACTCTGAAACACAAAGGGAAGTCAACTTTAAGAAAAAATATTAAACAAACCAGATAAAGACGAGGGCAGAAATAAAGCCATATCTGAAAAGCGCAATTAGGCAAAAAAAAAACAAACAAAAAAAAAACTGCGCAAATCCAATAATAACACTATCAATAACTGTGCACAAAAATAAAAGTGAACAAAACAAATTGAAGTGGCCCTTATAAAGGACTCCATTCGAATAGATAAAAAATAACCAGTCTAAAACAGGGGTCGGGAACATTTTCAGCAGAGAAAGCCGAATATTTTAAAATGTAATTACGTGAGAGTATAATAAGTCTCTGAAGTTAAAAAAGAAGTTATTAAAGTTATTTTAAAAAAATGAATAACATTGGTATATTATACAATGCATAACGTACTTCTTACCATTACTGTAATGCAACTTGCATGGAGTTATAAATATATGGTTCTACTTGCCATAAAAAAACAGTTTATTACACAGCACATGAGAAAAATTTACCGAAGGGTCACTAAATGTAACACCCGTGCGGATGAGAGTCGTGAACCCCAGGGAGCAGCAGTTGGGCTCTGCTGTCCTTTTGGTAGGTGCACATGTTAGGAGGCCCGTCATTTATTTCTTTTATTATTTACTTTGTTTCCAAATTTCATGATAGACATAAAACATTACCGAGCTGACGATCTTATCGCAAATTATTTAACACAACAAAGAGAGTACGCTGCCGTAGCCAATACACGTAATGTTGGTTTTTTTTTTAAAGATTATTTTAACACTGATTTCTGTAATGTTTTACGTAAATATCAGCAAAATTATTTATCGCTTATTGTGTTAAGAAATGCCAGCTAAGATTTGTCTAAGAGCTCGATTCAGTCATCAAAAGAGCTCGCGAGCTATGGGTTCCTGACCCCTGGTCTAAAGCATTGAAATATGGCAATTTTGATATTCTCGTATAATCACAACAGACCAAGCAACCTGACGCAGAATAATTATCTATCCGTTTTTAGGTGTTTTGCTATGTTTGTAGTTGAGTTGTGATGCAAACTTTTCATTTGACTTTTGACTATTTTTGCAAAACACACTGTCAAGGTCTTTGACATGGTGGAGGAGACCGACAATAAATAAGAGGTTTAATAAATATTCAGCAAACCACCCGACCTAGGCTTTGATACTGTCCAAACACTTAATTTCTGATTCCAATATCAACCGATACCGACATAGCGGGGCAGTAGTGGAAGTTAAGTGTGACCTCCTCATTAAGGTGATGCATTAAGACAGTGTTTCTCAATTATTTTTGCCCCATCAGTTGATTTTTATTTCCCTGCTAGACATTTGACAATTAATTATTTTGACAATTATTAATTTATTTTGTTAATTTATTTATAAAAAATGTCAGCAAAAGATGGCCATTTTGTCAAACACTGTGTAATGTTGAATAAAAATAGAAATATGTGCGTATACCAGAGGTGTGGACTCGAGTCGCACGACTTGGACTCGAGTCAGACTCGAGTCATCAATTTGATGACTTTAGACTCGACTTGACAAAATGTCAAGAGACTTGCAACTCGACTTGCACTTTAACATCAATAACTCGTGACTTCACTTGGACTCGAGCCCTTTGACTTGATGAGACTTGATACTTTCTCCAAAACCCAAAGTGATCTGTGTTAATATATTATTATTTTATTTAAAATGACTCGAAACAGAAACGGCAGGACTTGGGACTTGACTTGACACTTTTCAGTCTTGACTTGGACTTGACTCGGACTTTGCCTGTCCTGACTTGAGACTTGACTCAGACTTGAGTGCAAAGACTTGAGACTTACTTGTGACTTGCAAAGCAACGACTTTCAGTTGATTTTTATTTCCCTGCTAGACATTTGACAATTAATTATTTTGACAATTATTAATTTATTATGTATTTACTATCAAATTATGCAATTACAGTGCCTTGATTTTATTAAGGTTTAGTACATAGTCATAGCCATAACTGCAATGGTACTAATAATTGGCATAATAATTTCTTTCGGTGTTTCGGTTTCCGGCCTTGGTTTCCCTTATTTTTGGTTTTGGCCAAGAATTTTAATTTCGGTGCATCACTCGTTTTAAGTTAATAGTCTATTTGTGTCTCGGCCAGGAAGCTGAAGTTCCTGTGTTCGGTCTCAATATTCCTCAACAATTCTTATCACTGGTTAACATATTTATATATTTCTGGAAATCATATCACCTATGATAGTGTAAAGCAAAACGCAACGGATTCCAGCGTGTCATTAATTTCTGTGCAAAATAATTAGGAAGTTATCGGTTTGAAAGAAATTGAAAGAAAATATTAGTATTATTTGCCAGTGTAACACAGCGCACTACTGCACACACAACAAAATGTGAACTCTGCTTTTAAGCTATCGCCAAAGTGAGCAGCGGGTAGCTTAACCAGAAACCTTCCGGACCGAAGTCCGCTCCTTAACCCCCAACGCACCACTGCCCATAAATTATTCGGGCTTGTCCGGGATATCCAGGGTTATCGGTATCGACTAAAAATGATTGTGCATCCCTAAAAAAAAACCAATAAATTAACAGAATACTCTATTCCAAAAATATTCCATAGTTGGAAGGCTTGCATGGAAAAAAAAAGGAAAACTTTGGAGATTTGTCAAACTCACCATGGGAGGCAATAATAAACCAACGTAGTTCTGAAAGAACGTGACAAAATAGGATGGGTTCATCAAATAATGAACTCTAGCTTTCAGGGGTTTTGTACACTGAAGGTTTTTCCGATCAATAACCTACTGGTTTAATCTTAAATAAGTGTTATCAGCCCACACTGACTTTCAAACAGACCTAAACAAGCAAAATCAGTTACAGGAAACATTTCCAAACTCCAGTTTTGTCCCAAAATTGGACAAACACCCCAATGCTAAGAAACGTGTTTCTGTGAAAAACGATTTCTAAGAATTGCTTCCACAAAAACCAAGAACACGTTTTTAATGCTCACTATAAAAATTATATTTGAAACTGTTAAAGATACCTATATCAATACAGAGCAGCTCTAGTAGAAAAGTAAGAATCTAAACTGTTGTCTTAGCTGCACACACAATTTTACTAACATTGTTAGCACAAGGAAACTCAAATGTACTATAGTTAGCAGTTAAAAACTTTTTAAGTAGGTTGCAGAAGAAGCAAAAATTCATTTTGAAATCAAATTTCACTTTTTTTTTTTAAGTAACCAAGTGTGACAAAAAGTGACAGAAATCAAGCAATGCCAATACATGACTGTTTTTATGCTCTTGACCTTAATTCTCCTGCATCGCAGCAGACTCGTTAGCATAAGAGCTAATTACGGCTTATTAAAGTTAACACAACACATATTTCCTGGTCAGGATGTTTTAAAGGTGAACGAAAGACAAGTGTCGTCATTGATGCAATATGCAATATGTGACTTGCAAAATGTACTACTTTCTACAAAAAAAAAATGTATTTATAATTTAAAAGTAGAAAATTGACTGAATCGTAGGCTGCGATTAGTGCAGAGAGGCTAAACCAAGAAACTACGCTTTGATGCGTCTATTCAACTGGTACGTATATGAACAGTAAAAGAGCTTTGTCAGAGACGGTGAAAATGCAAAAAAAAAAAAAAAAAAAGATCAAATCATTAAAACACTTTACAGACTCCCAGGTGACAAGACTTTGATTGTGATTGACGCCAAACTAGTGTAAACAATACCATTTTGAAATGGTGTAAACGCAGCCAAACGCCCTACGAAGTACGGCCGCGCCAAAGTGTGTAGGGGGGGGTTGATTGCCTGCCACTGTGTTGATGGGCCAAAGGGCAGAGCATAGGGCCAAACTTGTGCGCACATGTGCAGTTAAGTCCATCTCCTGCTGCCTCCGCAGAAATCTGCAAATCCCTATCAATATATCCAGACATTGGGTAGGGCTAATGCAGCCGTGTGTGTGTGTGTGTTTCTTTCTGTCAGATCACTGTCAGATGCTGCTGCGGTAATGATTATATCTGGTTGCTCAAAGGGCTGACTATTTTGAAGATCGTTCACAAAGCAGCAGTTGCAGCCGTTGTTGTCAGATTTGCTCTCGATTGCGCCGCTTTAACTGCGTATAAACAACAAACACTGACGGATACGTTGGAGGAAAATGGGGTCAGAGGAGGGGGGCAATTGGCACTTTAACATGGTACAAAGCAAATGGCCCAAGTGTGGGTATGCCCCCAGTGTTGGCTATTCCCAGGTCACCAAAAACAAATGGTCACGTGCATTTTATTAGTTCCCAAGTATAAAATGCGATTATTAGTTACGCATTAATATCTGTCATATGAAAGGCGCTTATAAATAAAATGTGTTATTATTATTATTATTATTATTAATATCTGTCATGGGGACCAGATATTAATGGTTGAATTGAAGAAAACAAAACACATCCTGCATCAGCATCTCTTTAACAGGACCCTTAATAAGTAAGGCCTTAATGGTAACAATAGGTAATGGTAGGTAATTAGGTATTAAGTATAAAAGTATAGATCAGGGGTTGGCAAACTGTTCCACAAACAGCCACTAAGGCTGCAGGTTTTTGGTTCCAACCTATCCAGAGCACAATGACTGACCAATCAGCTTTCAATCAGATTCAGATCGGCCAAAGTCAGGTGTGCTGCTGCTGCTTGGTTGGAACAAAAACCTGCAGCCACGATGGCCCTTTCTGGAACTGGTTTGCTACCCCGGTAGAGATGCATTTACTGTATGGACAGTGATTGAAAACAGATAATCAGCACATGTAGTGTTGGTTTTGGCATCACCGTATTACTTACACTTAACACTGTGCAAAGAAAGCTCCTGTAATACATGTAACAGTATGGCCAATTGTAGGAGAGCTACTGTGAAGTCGCTACTGTGAAGTCAAATAACGCCATTATCCAACCCAACCAAGCTGGCATTGTTTATTCAGACTCATGAGCTACTGAACTGTTTGTTTAGTGAGGCGGGGCATGTGTTAGGTGAGAAAGAAAAAAAAAAAAACATGTGCCAGGTGACAAAGCAAAATACTTTTGTTTTAAGAGAAAAAAAAAACCCAAACTTGTTAATGTTTCAAAGTCTTGTTTTTAAGAGATGTAGTGTGATTAAATTGTCTGTGAAATAAAAAAAAAAAATGTCAGCAAAAGATGGCCATTTTGTCAAACAAACACTGTCTCTAACCCTAACACTGTGTCATGTTGAATAAAAATAGAAATATGTGTGTATACCAGAGGTGTGGACTAGAGTCGCACGACTTGGACTCGAGTCAGACTCGAGTCATCAATTTGATGACTTTGACAAGACTCGACTTGACAAAATGTAAAGAGACTTGCAACTCGACTTGGACTTTAACATCAATGACTCGTGACTTCACTTGGACTCGAGCCCTTTTGACTAGACAAGACTTGATACTTTCTCCAAAACCCAAAGTGATCTGTGTAAATATATTATTATTTTATTTAAAAGGACTCGAAACAGAAACGGCAGGACTTGGGACTTGACTTGACACTTTTCAGTCTTGACTTGGACTTGACTCGGACTTTGCCTGTCCTGACTTGAGACTTGACTCGGACTTGAGTGCAAAGACTTGAGACTTACTTGTGACTTGCAAAGCAACGACTTGGTCCCACCTTTGGTGTATACTACTCTTTGGTTATTTTTCAGTAGAATCAGTCGGTAAACCTTTACCTACAGTACATAGTTCCTAGAGGCTCTGGGGCTACTTTTAAAAAATAACATTGTTTTTAACACAGGCCAACTTGATCAACTCAAACGCTGACATTTTTCCATGTACCTCATGAACATGGTAAATTAAACTACAGAATTAGTTTGCACACAAAAATCAATGTAGGCTGAAATGTGACTTCTGTAGAACAGGTATAAAAAAAGAAGAAACAAAGTGTTACCTGTTGGTGTCGTGAGCCAGTAAAAGTATACTGGACTGAATGTGGTGGATATCTGCTCTGCTCGCTGCTGAAGCTCCCCTGGCTGGGGGGGTAGCCCGAGCTACTAGACATCCTGGCTCAGGCAGACTGAGCTGCTGCTGCTGCTGCTGCTGCTTCAAAGATCAGATTTTAGCTACACCATGTTCGTAGACAGGAACCACCTGCACCTGTAAGAAAATGTATTTATTTAGTAGGCGGAATTAGAATCATGACAATTTGCACCACACCGTCTACTTTTCTCAACAATGTGAAAAAATGAAAGCAATAAGGTACGCAAAAAAAAAAACAAGAGGAAGTTATATATAGGTAATAACTGGTATTGTATAATATGAGCCAACTGCTGAATATTATAGTATTATTATAGTATATAAGTATATTTGTATCATATTTATTTTTGTATCAGTATTTATGTTCAGGAGTTTGGCTGAATTGATAAAACAGAACGTTTGTAATAAGGACAAGCAGGTTATGGTATATTTAATAAAACATATTTTTGATAGAAATTTTTCCTTGATTTGCCCATTAATCAATGTCCATGCAACAGCGGCAATAACAGAGGCAGAACACATCATCAGTTTAAGATAACTGCTACTTTAAAACAGATCAATTTCTTAGTCTGATTTGTAAATAAATAGTTCAGGTAACACAACCACACCACCAACCAAACACACACGCTCTGATGGGGTTTATTTGATTAGCTTGTTACCCATTATATTCAAAAAGATCCACCATGTGAAACTGTCATTTTTATTCAAAGTCTGCAAGATGCACTGCACGACCACCAAAAACATTCCTAAAACTGTCTGCCTCACCTCGACTTTGTGAAAAGAAACCTAATGTTGATATCAATATGACTATTAAAAGTCATAAGTAAAAGAACAAGTGATGATGTCAGTGATTATAACTTATAATATAACGGATTATAAGATTTGCCAATGTTCTAGATAGGGATGCACCGGGATCCACATTTTTTCCACTTTCGATCTGATCCCGAAATTTTGGATTTTGATATCAGCCGATACCGATGCTATTGCTTTAATATTGTTATTATATGAATGTATTTCCCAAAAGGCCAGTATAAGGTCAGAAAAGCAAGTCAAAACTACAGGAAACCATGTTAACAGGAAAAATCCCATCCTTAAAACAAATATGCAACTGTAATGGGTTTGAAATTGAACATTTTATTAAGAGCAAAGACAAACATCTTACTACGTGTGCATCTGCGCACGCACACACACCGTTATTTAATTCATTGCTGGCTACATTGACAGTCCAGACATGACTTTTCTTTAGTTAGAAAACATTAATAATTGGAGCATTAATAAAAAAAAAAAGAGGCCTCGCCTGTTCTTGTATCGCGCATCCAGGACGAGCGTGCGTTTCATCGATTTTATTTCACTGTCAGCGCTGCTCTCCTCAGCCAACAGCTTCCTGCCGGCAGGAATCAGAAAGGGCTGGAGCTCAGACATGGTTCGTGGATCGGAATTCTTTGCAGGTTGGATCGGATCCGTCCGACCCGCTAATTACATTGGAATCGGTTGCCGATACAGATACTGGATCGGACCCATCTGTAGTTCCGGATCTGTCTTATATTAAATTGTGGCACAAAATTTTGAAGACCTCTGACAAGACGTACTTATACTTGCTATGTGATTAAAACAAACATTTGACAGTTATCAATACTAAATGATGGAGATGGCAGTTTTTAGGCCCCACTAAAAGTGTGGTAGCACAACTTTCAGCTTTAATAGTGTATATAAGCAAACTCTGTACATACATATTTTTTATTTAATAATTTTTTTTTCAACCAAGATAACCATGTGCTAGTGACAAGACAGGGTAAGCCACAGTCTGTTTCTCGACTGAATACTAGATCAAAGCCAGTGGCTTGAACTAACTGCTTGTGCTCTTGGAATTTACATAGATGAGAATAACCATGACTCTATCTATCACTTGAGGATAAGGCTGGAGACACATTGCATGTCCACATCAGTGAAGCTAATGAGTGAAGCCATAATAAAATATCACATTTTAACCAATGTTGTTAGTGCAATTTTTGGGAATTTTGGCTCTCTATTTTCACTGATTAGGTTGAAATTTCTCAGGCAATACAAAAAAATCCCTATTGAAAATTATTTCCAGAAACATATACAGCATAACATATATTTGTTCTATTCAGTCCTTAACCAGAGTAAGAGCAAGGCTTTCTCTCCATCTGTCTCACTAACTACTAATATAAGGACATGATATTTGAATCAACTAAACTGATACCACAAACCTGTTGCTAATGCATAAATTGTTTTTTTTTTTTATCTCAACACTTGACCTTACAAAATCCATACAATAAATCATTTTTGTCAGTTCAACAGGACTTCAAGATACAAGCTAGCTAAAATACAACATTTCCAAGTTACGAGGAAGCAACTTTCGTAAGATTTTAAGTCATGATACGGGGAAACATCGAGTTAAGAGCCGAGCTCCACTTTTCGACACTGCCTCGCTGTCTCGCTCATTGACCCTCGCTGGGTTAGTTTACCCATTTTTATAGCAATGATATAAAATGTTTTCTTAATTATTATTATATTATATATTCAATGTATTTGTTTATATCTCTGATTTTGATGTTTAGATAAGGGGTCATTTACATTTAATTAATTAATACTATATTCCTGGGGTTCTGTAACGAATGAATTGGGTTATAGTTATTTTTAAAGGAGAAATGCAATAAAGATACAAGCAGTGAAAGTGAATTATTTGTCATTGTGTGACACGGCACACCACTGCACACACAACAAAATGTGACCTCCGCTTTTAACCCATCACCAAAGTGAACAGGGGGCAGTTTTAAGTGCCCGGGGAGCAGTGTGTGGGGACAGTGCCATTCTCAAAGCACCTCAGTGGTAACTTGGCAGCTGGTGGACTCGAACCTGAAGCCCCACTGTACTTTGCTCTATACTAGTTCTTCATTTTTTTAAGCATTTAAGACAACATGTACACGGGGTGCCACTCTGGTGTGCAGAAGTGTGTTCTTTCAGAGATACTTGTACAGACTATAGTGTTTTTCTTGGAATTTACATAGATGAGAATAACCATGACTCTATCTATCACTTGAGGATAAGGCTGGAGACACATTGCATGTCCACATCAGTGAAGCTAATGAGTGAAGCCATAATAAAATATCACATTTTAACCAATGTTGTTAGTGCAATTTTTGGGAATTTTGGCTCTCTATTTTCACTGATTAGGTTGAAATTTCTCAGGCAATACAAAAAAATCCCTATTGAAAATTATTTCCAGAAACATATACAGCATAACATATATTTGTTCTATTCAGTCCTTAACCAGAGTAAGAGCAAGGCTTTCTCTCCATCTGTCTCACTAACTACTAATATAAGGACATGATATTTGAATCAACTAAACTGATACCACAAACCTGTTGCTAATGCATAAATTGTTTTTTTTTTTTATCTCAACACTTGACCTTACAAAATCCATACAATAAATCATTTTTGTCAGTTCAACAGGACTTCAAGATACAAGCTAGCTAAAATACAACATTTCCAAGTTACGAGGAAGCAACTTTCGTAAGATTTTAAGTCATGATACGGGGAAACATCGAGTTAAGAGCCGAGCTCCACTTTTCGACACTGCCTCGCTGTCTCGCTCATTGACCCTCGCTGGGTTAGTTTACCCATTTTTATAGCAATGATATAAAATGTTTTCTTAATTATTATTATATTATATATTCAATGTATTTGTTTATATCTCTGATTTTGATGTTTAGATAAGGGGTCATTTACATTTAATTAATTAATACTATATTCCTGGGGTTCTGTAACGAATGAATTGGGTTATAGTTATTTTTAAAGGAGAAATGCAATAAAGATACAAGCAGTGAAAGTGAATTATTTGTCATTGTGTGACACGGCACACCACTGCACACACAACAAAATGTGACCTCCGCTTTTAACCCATCATCAAAGTGAGCAGGGGGCAGTTTTAAGCGCCCGGGGAGCAGTGTGTGGGGACAGTGCCATTCTCAAAGCACCTCAGTGGTAACTTGGCAGCTGGTGGACTCGAACCTGAAGCCCCACTGTACTTTGCTCTATACTAGTTCTTCATTTTTTAAGAATTTAATACAACATGTACATGGGGTGCCACTCTGGTGTGTAGAAGTGTGTTCTTTCAGAGATACTGGTACAGACTATAGTGTTTCGGATATTTTGACATTTGTAGTACAGTATATCCATTTTGTAGACAGCACTGATACACACGTCAGAAAGCACAAGACATGTGGCTATTACTGACAACATGGCCTTTAGCAAGGGGATAAAGAGTAAAAAAAAAAAACTTTCCAACTAAACAAATCACCTAATAAAACGTACACATGCACAAAATGTCATTACATTATTTTGCCATATGACATGCTTTTCTATCTACAAACAAATGTTTAAAGAGTGTATGCTTTTAGGAGTTAATCAAGTATAGAATAGACATGGTTTAAAAATGTAAAGGTTATAGGGTGTATATAAGGGAGAAATGACTTAACTTAGATATACAGTGCACATATCCTATCCAGATTCTTGACAACGGTTTGTGCTCATGGAGCTTTCTCTAATTTTTACAATTGGCAACAGGAAAAGAACAATTGCTGTTCATACGTTTTAGAGAGTTTTGGTTGCATATAGCATTCTGGGCAAATGTTAAAGATAAAGAGAATTCAACTGTGCAGCATCAGAAAAACATATATTGTCTAAACCTTTGGTGACCCAGTGATATGAGCGGGGCAAGGTGAACAACGGGATGCTATTGTATTGCTAATCACCATCGTCCAACATAACAAGAAAGTGACCTGATTATTCCCACGGTTGTGTCATTTGTGTATTTTGATTAATAATTGACATCAATATATCAACACCACGAACATAGGGTTTACTTACATATATAATTCAAGTTTTTAAAATCTGTAATTTAAATGGCATATATATATATATCCCGTGGCACTTTCAAATACATGCAAGCGATGCACATTTCTCTGAATAGTTTTCCCGTGAATTTTATGAAAAGTTAATACTGGAGGACACTAGGCAGAAACTATATGGCAATGCGAGGAAAGGCCTCGCAGTCAAGACAAGTCAGAACGAAGCGATCATCGCTAGAGAAACATTGCTGTTGTACATTGTTATCGTAGTCTTTTAAACACCACAGTCCAGTAATCGCAACTGCAATTGTGTCTTCTTTTGGGGGATGGGTTAACAGCAGAGAACTCTCCCGGAAATGCTCAACAATCATGCAAAGCTTTAACTTTATTTAACCAATATCTCACTTTTCCACATGATCCTTAGACGTTTAAAGTCTTGTTGTTGTTTTGGTAGTCGCTAGCTAGCCTGTTTAGCCTATAAATCACCTTTGAATTCTCAACCACGTCGCCATCTTGCAAAGCTGCTTCTCAACATAGACTAGAGCGTGTAAACGTATGATAATAAAACGGGTTTCTTTGGTTCACGATACCGAGCTGAACTCACCTTTTATGTAGGAAATAACCGAATGGGAAATAAGGTTGCCCCTGGTCGGAAAATGCGTCAATTGTTGATTATAAATCCGCGGGTTGTTGGCTGTGTACGACTAGGTAGACTGAATGCTGCGCCGCATTTGTCGGTCGGTGTCCTGATAGGGAAAATAAATTGTCGTTGTCAGACGGGATAATTATGAAAGCTCAATAACATAACACCAATTAATTTAAAGAGACACATGTGATAAGTTAGCTTTACCGTGTTATTAAATACAATTTAATTTTTTTTTATAAATGGGCTTTAAACGTGTTTTATTCTTTTATATCCCTGCCAGGATAACGGGGTGTTACAATCAAATGGACCCTCAGCGATATCTGTAATGTAGTTTTTTATTTGCACGCAATTTGTAAAGAAATATTGGAGTGTATATATTCTTTAAAAAATTATCTGATTTTTGTTTAATTCAATTATAGCTTCTCTTCCCCGCTAAAAAGAAAGCAACCCGAACTCTATGTGCGCAAAACATTAATTCTTTGGGCGAAAATTACTCAGTCTACGTTTGTTTTTAGTTCAATTACTATTTAAATCGTAAAAGCATTACGCTAAAAACGTAAAAAAGAAAAGAAAAACAGAACTTGTTATTTACAAGTGGAAGATATTTTTACTGGCGTTTGTTTGCACACGGAATGTTTAGAACGACGGTCAAAAATAATGAGTGTCTTCTTGATAGCGTGTATAGTTTTGTCCTATCTTTTTTGGATCAAATGCATTTATCGTCACCATCCGAAGACTTTAAAGAAGTCTTTGAAACATCTAATGACTGTCGGAGCAGGCAGCGAAACAGCTGTATCTGACGTCCGAGCCCTGATTGTTACTGCACACCCGGATGATGAATGTATGTTCTTCGCGCCGACGATCATACGACTGCTGCAATTAAAAGCCAGCGTTCATTTGTTATGTTTGTCAGAAGGTACGTTTACGCTGTGGACTGCACCATTAAGCACATTTATATTTGAAATAACTCATCATGTAAAGCGAAATCCGCTCACGACCATATCTTTTACTCTCCAGTCAAAACAAAACAAAATTACTAAGCTTCTGTGGAAAGCACGATGGACATGATACTCAACAACACTTAATGCAATATATTACAGAGAATTTCTGTTCTGTTTTTTATTCTCATTAAATCATGTAGTATAGGTCAAATACTGGTCTTGGTATCGCCTGCAAAATAAAATAAAAAAAAACCTTACAAACACATTATAAACTATAGGACTCTTAAAGGAACGTGTCCTAATATGAGGAATAAAAGTAATGAAATCATTTTAAATTTTAATGTTTTTCAAAAATATTACTAGTGTTACATTGACTGTAATGGTGTACCAAAAATTGTATACGTTACATTTTAGAGGCTGAAATGATTCCAAATGTCGTCTGATATTCTTTTACATATCTTACAGGTAACTACTACAATCAAGGAGCTCAGCGAAAGCAAGAACTGTGTGACAGCTGTGCTGTTTTGGGAATACCAGCCTCGCAAATTACTATAGTCCAACATAAGTGAGCAGCCGTTTGCACGGAAAACCTTTTATCAAGATTTCATTTGAGTGCCTTGAAAACATTAAACTGTTTATGTTTTACATGCCCATTGATTACTTAAAATTTAGTTTTAGAGATTTTTGATTGTTAGCCATACAACCAAGATAGCAACATTTTCCAGAGCTGTGTTTAAACCAGCCAGAATTTCACTCCATTCCATAGGTAATACCTAAAGACAGTGGCACATTGTGATCAGTGGATGCCTCACAGTGTCTCTGTGTTTACATTGCAATGTTATGGTGGATAGTTATTTAATATTTTAAGCCTTCTTTCTTAAGCAAAAAAAATGCAAGAAAAGTGGGTAATATTGAGGATGTACTTAATGCTTGAACTCATTACATGGATGTAAGTGAAAGAAGTTTTGAGCCGACACATGGATTTAATTTTTTTTAAATTCTAATCTGATATAAGGAACCCCACCAGACCAGAACAGAGATTAACCACTAACTTTGAAAATCTGATTTTTCTATTTACTGTTTTGACAAGTTACGGTGAAGGAAGTGTTTACAGTTCCATAAAATAATTTAAAAACAGATGCAGTTTTTTTTTCATCTTTTGCATCTGATACTGATTTTCCCAATATTTTTCATGTAAGCCTGTTTGAGCAACAATTATTTGAATTACAGGCTCAACTCTAAGTTAAAAGCAATCCAAGAAAACCCTTTAGGTTTTTTCTACACCAAATAAAATGATTAATTAAATTAATAAAATATCTTATTTAATGTAATTGATTATAGAAACAAATTTAATTGTCGGTTGGTGGCGACGCCTCCAATTTATTAGAGCTGTAATTTATCTAAAGCTCATCTCAATCTTAAATATTGCAACAGTATTGTTTAACAGGTAGAAAAGACAACTTAATTTTTTTTTTATCTCCCTTTTGTTTTGTTTTTCTTGCAACTGTCAAACTTTCCATCTCCTTGCTTTAGCTCTTGACAAGGTCAGGTTACTGAGGCAAACCTGCAACTTCATTTGAAAATGTTTGCGGTTTCTGAGAACCCTGGTCAGCCAAACAAGTGTGTGCATACACATTGGCTCGTACTCTGCGCTAACCTGGATCTGGCAGTATTGGGCTGGCAGTCTGCCAAGGTCACTTGCACAAACGAACGTTGTCGGTATGTGCGTCTGTGACTTCACAGATTTATCAGGTTGTGCACACAACATATTGCTGAACTTTGGTCCTGGTGCTGTCTGCACTCCTGTTGAACTGAAGTTGAGCCCATTTTCCCTTTTTGTGTTTGTTGTTTGCCTCAAGCACACAACTAATAAGCCCCAGTCACCCAAACCAATCTCTCTCTCTCTCACACACACACACACACTCTCTCGCTCTCTATCTCTCTAACCTATCTATCATTCTTTCTCTCGCTACCAACCCCCTTTTCCCTTCTCCGTCGTTGCTCCCTCTCCTCTCTCACCCCTCTTTTTCCTGTCAATGTCTGCCAAGGGCCGTAGGATACGTTTTGGCAGTGATGTGATCTCCGCTAATGTAGGTCATTGCTGACTGTTTTCCGCTACACGTGTTGTCTTTTACAAGGTTAGCCAGATTCTGTGAGTGCTCTTTGCGGGTTCCATCCATACATGTGTGTCTGGTCATCCTAAAAGTCACGTCTTCTCACTTTGTTTGTTGATTATTTTTCTTCAGAAGAAACAATGGTTGGAGTTAGAGGTGCACAATAGAAATACATTTCATTTGTTAACGTACACTTTCACAAATAGGATGTGTACTTGTGGATATTCTCAGTCATCCAGGTCGTCATAATGATCTCAAAAGCAGTTTTAAAAGTAGACAACCGGACTCACCTCAAGTCAATTGAAGACGTCTCATCCGAGAGGCTTCATCAGTTCTACGTCTGTTCTGCATGATTCATCAGTTCTAAACATAGAACTGTGAGTCGAGTTGCCTACTTTTAAAACTGCTTTTGAAATAAGAGTGAGTTCTCTGTGAACTATTTACTCACGTGGTGTCAAAGAAAAAATAGTAGACAATTATGTCACAAACATAAGATGGCAAAAAAAAACATGGTGCACAATATTGTTGTCAAGAACAGGCTTCCCTTGCTGAAACTGCCTGAAATGAGAAAGATTAAATGTTTGCATGATTACATAGCATAGGCCAAAATACATCTACATTTGTTATAACTTAACAAATGTGACTAAAATGTGACTTTGTTTGTGATGTGGCATTATATCGATAGATCCCTGAAAGGACACACAAAATCCACAAAATAAATGCATCCACAAAATAAGCACTGTTATCCGAGCTTACCAGTGACCAATGATGATGTGTCTGGTGCCGGTCCATAGGTCATTTGGTAAAGGGCCACAGTGGGACACTGAAAAAAAAAAGTACTCATCTGCTAAGTAGCTATAACACTCGTTTCTCCTTTTCTCATTTCTCATTCTTACACAACCTTTAAACATACATTGATCATTGGCTTGCTGTAAATTAGTTCTAGGTAATTGTATGCACACATGGCAAATTGTGAGTAATAATGGAGTGATATTTCTTATTATCATAAGGAAAATCAAACAGGGACCACTTTGTAGTGGTTCTGCCTTACACTCCAGTGTATGCCCCAGTGGACCCATACGTCTAATTTTCCTTTTGTAAGTTGTTTCTGGATACAAATGTATGCTAAATGCATGAATGTAAATGTAATTCTATGGAACAGTGGTTTTCAATTATTTTCTAAGAACTGGATAACATGTATATATTTTTTTCTGTACAAGCCACTGTATGAGTTGCTGCCACCTAGTGACTGGAGGCTTGTTATCATTCAAGCATTACAGCAGTGGTACGCTTATGTACATCATCATTCAAGCATTGCAGCAGTGGTACGCTTATGTACATTGTGCCATATTCCATTAGAAGCCCCTCACGCCCCCCCGCATGGCATCTCACCGCGCCCCCAGTATTTGAGAAGTACTGCTATTGAAGAAGGTGCAAACATTGCCACTTTACAAACAGCAACTTTGCAACAATTAGTACTTTTTGTTTCGGGGAACAATTTCAAATTTATTTCAAGCGTATTTAATAAAAATTTTTTTTTTTTAAATTTAAAATAATTTAAAAAAAACAACAACTTACTTTGTTATTGTGACTGATGATTAAAAGAACATAAGTGTTTTACCAATTGTACATTTTCAGTTTTTACGGCATTGTTTGTAACTCCATGGTTTCTACACAGGTCAATTTATTTTTACTCATTATTTTTTAAAAATTTTGAATACTATGTAATTATATATATATATATATTTATGTATATACATATATATGTATATACATAAATATATATATATATATACGTATATACATATACATATACATATACATATATATGTTGATTTAACTCTCTGCTTCTCTAGACATACTATTTTCGAGTCTGTGTTTGTCGAACTTGCATTGCACATCTCTATTATGACCAATGTACCAATGAGCCGAATTCATCAAAAAACATGACATCCAAATTTTACGCAGTTAAAAAAAAAAAAGGAAATTAATTTTGTTGTTGAATAACAACTAAGAATCCTAGGTCCATTTGTCTGATTAAGGATAAAACTGCAGCTTTGTGTAAAAAAAAAAACATCTAACAACTTGCATATTATGGGTGCATTGTGAAAAAGTAGTAGCATTTCAGATGTTCCCAGCAGGATGCATCATCCTCCTGTGTGTGTGTGTGTAGAAGTCTGGCAGTTCCACAGGCCTGTGGTCCATGTGACCAGATTAAACTGGTCTCTCTCTCTCTATCTCTCTTTCTTTCTCTATCTGTCTCTGTCTCTCTCTCTGTGGGACACAGGTTTTTTTTCTGGGCCAAAGTTGAACAGCTGCATATAAGATGCCTGTAAGCAATTAGACGTCCAAATTCACAGCTCCAAAGGCAGGCCCAGGAGGTTACTCTAGGACAAGCTGTTGCCATGGCAGAGTTGACACTTGGCCTGCATCATGCTTGAGAAAGGTCAGGTGTCTTGTGTCTTTTGTTCATTTTTCTCTCCGCCCCCACCCTCCTCTTTGCAAACTCATACTTCGTTTCACTTGTCAAGCTTCGAGACAATACTAAATAATAAATGAAAAAAAGCAGGAGTGCTGACAACCACAGCAGAAATTTGGGTTTGAAATTATTATTATGTGAAGGTTTTGTTGACGTTTGGTCAGAAATGTGTGCATGAATTTGTACATGAGACATGATAAAATCCACATTGTTAAAAACAATATAAAGCCGTGCGCTCACCGGCTTTATATTGTGTTTATGCGGGTTACGGGACTCAAAGTGACACAGCTGCATATCTACACAATGACAGACAGTTTTGAACCATCTTTCACCTTTTGACTCTCTGCCCCGAATCACTTGGACGTAGCCAAGGTCACCCTTCTGTCCATCTATAAGGCATTTCAACTGTCCAGGGTCATTGTTTGTGGTGAAGGTGGGGGGTGGATCATTGGAATCCAATTGCACTTTTTTTCATCATTTGGCTGGCTTTGACTTGATACTCGGGTGCGACATATATTCAAATATATAATTTCACGGTTGTTATTTTCACACTAACAGCAGCTAGAGGGCACTTTAGGCTTGAGTACTAGTATCTGCTACTCCTGTACCAGTAAATATATTTACATGTTTGTTATTTTGACACTGACAGCCACTAGAGGGCACCGGTGCGACTTATAGTACAGAGTGATTTATATGGGTTTTATTTCTTCTTCGTACAGAGTGATTTATATGGGTTTTATTTTGACTGGTGCGACTTATATTCCAAATAAACAGTTGAAAGGGGTTGAAAGTCTTTACAATGAACAAAAACTATACACTGTACAGTAAATAAGTATGAGAATAGCACACTTCAGTCATTCGGAACAGTCATATGTTGATGTCTGAGCTTAGTGGTCTTTGGTAAGTCCCTCACAGTGCTTAGCTGAAGACCAGCAGTAGGGGATTCCAGATCACTCCATCTCCTTTTGTTGCCCTTCAGGGCTCAACTCAGTGCTTTATGAAAAAAACAAACAAACACAAAACCATACAAATAGCCATGTTTCCTTTGCTCTGCAGAGATCTTCCTGATGATCCAAAAGCCAAATGGAGCATCGCATTGGTCTCTTCTGTGATTATGAAGCATTTGAGGACTCACTCCTTCAACATGGTATGCGATGCTCTGTGTCATTTCCTGATTGACGTCATAAAGCACAGTTGCTGTTATGTATGCTAGGTTTGTTATATGGCCCCACAACGTCCTACCCCATTTCCGTTGTGGTATGGGTTTTAATCCTCTCAGCCTCCATCATTTTTTTCTCACACAGCACTCTGTAGTTTAGGTCATTTTAAAATAAGGGAAAATTGTCTGCCGCAGTAGAAATGTCGTACCGGATCTGTGTTTACATAGAGATTGTTATCAGCCCTGATGCGGTGCTGAGCTATTTACTAAAAGGAATGTTGCAAAGTTTGAATCAAAGAATGTTGTCCTAGTCTCTCTGTCAGGGAGAGCAGAAACAGTCAAAGCTTTGAAAGATATAACGCACAACAGTGCTTTTTAGGATGAGAAAGGCCACATTGGGCAGTGGTGACTTGAGTGAGTAAATCACAATTCATACGCTGTAGTTCATATTCTAATCAAATGTCATCTGGAATGCATGTCGCCAGGCATTCTGGTGAAATGGAAATACCAGCAATTAATCCCAAGAGAAACGCATTTCTAATCGCTAAGAAATTGTTGTCTTGATTTACAGTACTAAAGCATAGCTAGTCTTTAGTCAAGCTCTTTTCCTCTGACCTGTTTTTTTACTAGCCCCTTCGAGTGTGTAACTATGCACAGAAAAGGGTTTTTAAACATCAGTTGTCAGCTGCCAAGCAGCTCCGCAGTCAGACACAGGAAGACTTTCTTCAAAGCCACCAAAATCTCTTACTATCCAGCTTCCAGCTTTTGCTCTTTGCCTCAGTTTATTTGAATTCATTGTAGCTGCCCACACGCTGGTTTTTACCTAATGTGGTTTATTTCGACATTGAAGGTTCTGACCTTCGATGGAAAAGGAGTGAGTGGCCATGCGAATCACATCTCCATCTACAATGCAGTCAGGTATAGAAACTAAAATGTTACATTTTTTTTCTGTATGGCGACTGCTATTGATATCTAAATCCAATTGGAAACATTTCAGTCCTTTTTAACACCATAGTAGGTTAATATACAATTCAAATTCATTTCAAGAGCAAGACCATGTCGGTCAAAGAAGTTGATAGATAGATAGATAGATAGATGGATGGATAGATGGATAGATGGATAGATGGATGGATAGATGGATGGATAGATAGATGGATGGATAGATAGATGGATGGATAGATGGATAGATTGATAGATAGATAGATAGATAGATAGATAGATAGATAGATAGATAGATAGATAGATAGATAGATTGATTGATTGATTGATTGATTCAGGAAATTTAGGAATGTATTCAAGACCCAGGATAATAATATTTGGGTATCTGGTGGGTTAAGTTTGCTATGTTATGGGTTGCTTAAAAATATGCTTGATGTAAATAAAATCCTCTACTGGAACTATCAACACACTAAATGTGTTTCTTTCACTTAGGTGATTGTATTGTGTTATTATAATTGTTTTTGGGTTTTTTTTGTTACACAGAAATCAAGACAATGATACACCATAATAGTCTTCCATATCCCTTATAAAAAGATACACCATAATAGTCTTCCATATCCCCATAAAAAAATAAATAACTGAACTTGACCAGAATAAATATGTGTAAAATATAAAATAAAAATAATGTTAGATTTTTTTTTTAAAAAGTTCCAGTTTTCTACCATAAAAATAAATCTTGTAAGGGAAAATCCTGTGAGGGGAAATTACCCAGGCCATTAAAAAAATGGGTTCAAACCATCACACCCAGGCAACGATAACAAAGATTTACTATGGATTAAGAGAATTGTTATCATTTGAACATGTTTTGAAAAATGTATTCTAAAGCTTGAACTTTATTTTTGCTAAACCTACAAAAGAAATAAAGAAAACCTACAAAACCTAAACTATGCATTCAAGCACTTTGCTGTCATAAAATGTTTCTTTACTAAAATGCCATTATGTGGCTTGCACACCAGCACACAAAACCAGGTCACACGACAGTTAAAACTCTGTCCAGGAAAAAACCCGAACATTCGCACATCAACATTCATCTCTCCCCACAAACACACACACACACACACTCCATGTTTTTCAGAAATGGTCTCTTACATAACTGAGAGGTCATCCAAACAGTTCTCTGAGGCACTTGGCTGTGCTCACAGAGAGCAGTAGTAAATCCTGTCTTGAAATCTTGAAGTGGCAAAGTGGTGGAGCAGTTTTGGTTCGGTGAAGCCAACAAAGCAAAGTTTCATCAGATAAAATCAGATGTTTGTGTGTGTGTGTGTGTGTTTTGCACTGTGAAGTTTGCATGGTTGTTCTGGTATTGTGCAGGTTTTCCCTGTGTGAGATTACACGCTATTGTAATATGTAGGTTAAGGAAATAAAATATGACATATTTCACTGGTAAAATGTATAAAAATGTGAACAAAGAATGATGTGAAAATATAAACCATCTTTTGAAACAGTGATTCGCCAAAACACAGTCCATGTCAATGGGTTGCATTATCTCTCTAAGTACAATGTGTAATATTGTGGTGTGATTTTCTTCCCTTTTTTTGGACGTACAGCCATCTTGCTTTCACTGGACAAGTGCCTCAAGGTAGGTTTGACAGTAATCAGTGATTTCGGTAACACAGACCATGTTTATGAATAAATGCGTAAGCTCAGGCAGCTCTATAAAAAAAAAAAAATAAATGCGTAAGCTCAGGCAGCTCTAAAAAAAACAAACAGTTTATACCAGGAGAGTCAACGGTGGCCATCTCCCCTTAGCGTAGCAGACTAAATTGTTTGTTGACGTACAGCGCCCTCCCCTGTTCACAATGTTTACAAAAGTGTTGCTCAACAAGTTGGTCCGCATGTACTGTAGCAGCGTAAGGGCCAGGTATACGTGCCCTCAAAGTCAAAGTAAGCTTTCCAAATGAGAGAGTAGATTTGTATGTGTCTGCGCAACTTCAAATGTTGGGAAGGTGATGTCTATGAGGATTTTTTTTCAAAAGAAGAAAGTAGGTTTGTGAAAGAGAACCATGTCAGTACAGGATGCCCCGTTTTCCCAAAGGCTGGGCCTTTGTATAGTAGTTAATCACATTTAATATCTTATCTGTTTTGCTATGCTGCTAAATGACATTCAGTTCCAGTTTTGAGGCTACTTTGTTTAGAGTCTAGAGACCTTTGTCTGCCCGGAGCTCTTAAATTGTGATGTTGTCCGCTAACTCGCTCTCTGTCTGTTCACCCAGACTGTTGTTTGCTCTCCCTGGTGACTGTTGACCTCTTCAGGAAGTATATCTTCTTCCTGGATCTTCCCCTCAGCTGGCTGTTGACCTCCAGTCTCTGCTGCACTATAAGCTGCCAGGGTTACATGCAGGCCAAAGTAAGGAGGTTTGCTGCCAGGAATATGTTTTTTAACAGATGCAGGATTATTGCTGTTCAACAAAGGCAGGGATACATTGAGAGTGTTAGTCAAGGATTTATAGAATGCTCGGGTTACACAGGACAAGTACATACTGTATACACACACATGTTTATTGGTTTTGCTTTGTATTACCTACCTGTCTCTCCTTTTGTCTTTCAGGCCGCGATGCTTTGTCATCGCTCTCAGTTGCTGTGGTTTCGTTACCTATACGTTACCTTCTCACGCTACATGTTCACAAACACGTTCAGAATAATCCCGCATGGACCAAAGGACTTTAAGATTTATTAAATGTTTATTCTTTGACCGATACTACTGCTAATCAAATTGTTTACAGATTTGTGAAGTGGAATGTTTTTGACCTTTTCTCTCTTTTTTTTAGTTACTGTTTCTAAATAAACTTTTCATAAATCATATTTTTTTACCTCAGGATTATAATGTGTAATAGTTATAATAGACTTGACATGGTTAAAAAATGTGGTGGAGCTTTTCATTCTCATCTTGTAAATGTACTTTTGTCATGATAGAAAAAATATATTACTGAATAAATATATTGAAATGTTTTATAGCTGCTATGTTTTTTTGTTTTTTTTTTAATCTAGGGCATGTCCACACATGTCTCTAAAATCTTGTGAACTCGCATGCTCCCTCTAACCCCCATCACACAAACATTCTTCATAGTTACACTCCACCCAGTACCTGGATGGAGGTGGAGCAGTTAGATACAATAGCAAGAAAGAGGCCATTCATTAGTTTCTGTAAGAAAACACAGGCAAATATACTGTATGACACTCTGGGTGACACTCCAGTAACGTCATTATTGATACATGAATATAAATAGATGTACTTTATTTATCCCAGGCTGGGAAATTACAGGGATATGTTCCTGGTGTGCAACAACCATAAAACTGCAGCAGGGACAAGGACAATTTGGAGTAAACATAGCAAAACAAATGTCAAGAGTCAACATGCTGGGTGTTGAAATATGTTTACAACACTTGTTGTGAGTGTCTCATGAGCAGGGGTCATACGATGAAAACAATTTTGTGGGGAAACTTTATGCTCTTCTAGTTTTACATATAGAGGTATTAGTTTTAATAAAGGTAACTTTGTAGGTTGTTTCTCTGATATTGATTTACTACGTAATAACAATGATTTTATTTATTTATATTTAAATATAAATAAACTAAATGTGTGAATGTTTACATGTACAAACGTGCAATTGAATACACAGAGGGACATCTAGGGACTTTACTTTGTAAAGTAAGATAAAAGGAATCCGTTTGTACCTTGTTGCTTAAACAACTTCTGACAAAACCAGTCCAGCGTGTTGTGGGGAAAACTGATGACGTGGAACTTAGCATTTCCAAGAAAAGCAACCAACCTTCTGGAAAACATGCGACCAAAGTCAAAGTCCACCTCTAATTTTTATATTTTCAGTTTCTGACAGGTTGCCCTAAATCAAATTTAATTTAAAAAGCTAAATGTCAGTTTCCACAGTTATAAGTGTTTGTTCTACTTCTTAAAAGGTTGTTTTTGCTGGAACACTTTGAGGCAGCCTTTTATTATTCCGAGTAAAAGGGCAGGGCTGGCGACAGCCCCAACGCATTCATCAGTGACTGAATCATGCAGACACCCAGCTCAGCAAAGGGCCCAAGGCGGTGCCTCACGAGTTGGGTGTCATATGACATATGGGGCAAGGGAATGCTGTGACCCAAATACATAAATTAGGACTGTACTGCTCTATTATATCTATCATCCAAAAATAGGACTCTAACTCTTTATTGTGTTGTTTTGTTTCATTTACAGTGATATCTGAATGTTTTGAGCTTAACACCAAAACAAAGTGACTAGCTGTTTATGTTAGTATATAAATTACAATATAGTGGCAATTTGTCTTTCTAACACATTTAGATACTATGATGTAGGTTCTGTAGGATTTGTTTTATATAAGACAGAATCCTCACAACAGCTGTAGAAGAAGAACCTTCCAAATAACAGATTTCAAACAATAAGTAGACTTTGGCACCTGAACTGAGAGAATTTTCTGGACTGTCAGCATTAAAATACAATTTACCTCTGTATTAACTTAAATAAATATAACACTTAAAATGAAGTAAAGAGATAAAGGGAACGCTATACTGTTAATTCCATACCCCATTCATAATCAGTTTACATCCTTCACAGAAGTCACAGAACGTTTGCATGCCAGACATTCACTGTAAGTACTCATAAGTAAGATAAGCATGCCAGACATTCACTGTAAGTACTCTATTAATTGCAGCAACATTTATTTTGATGTTCCACGTAAAAAGAAATCAAATATACTAATGTACTACAACTATATATTAAACGTTTGTACACCATTTGTTGATGTTATTTTTCTTTGCCCCTTTTGCTCGAATCGAGGTTGACAGATAGGTTAAACATTAATCTGCGCTGAAATTGCAATATCATTATCTGTATCTTGGGCAGTGAATTACAGATACCGTCCCACAGCAACCAGTCGCTAATCAAACAAACAAACAAACGGTGTCAACCAATCAGAAGATCGGACAATGTCCGCGTGACGTTGCGTTTCTGGAATATTCTGGAACCGGAAACTGACAACAAAACGTTGGTATGTATTCGCACTTTGGCTGTTGTTTTTAAACATATATAAATGAAAACGGGTTCCTTTCGACAGATTATGATTCAATGTGTATTACTCTGAAAATGCCTTCAAATGCATATTGCATTGTATGTTTCGAAGCATTTGGGACTATTTTTTCCGCGGATGGATATCATCGTGTGGCGTGTAGAGTCTTGTATAAAAGTCACTGCCTGCGCAGTACAACGTAGATTTCTTCAAGCAAACGGAAGAGCTTTTAAGCAGCAGAACTAGAAGACCGACATCTTCGTTACTAGTGAGTATAAAAACTATACTGACGTTGACTCTGGATAAAATTAAGATATTGCAGTATTTGTTGGCCTGTTTTATGTCAATGTGTTGCCTTAGGTATTTAAAATATATTTATTCAACGGGATGTCCCTTTCGAAGTCATAGTAACTGTTTATTATATTGTTTTGTGTTGACTATATCTTTATTGGTTTTACTAACGTTTTTTTTTAACTTAAATTTAGTTTGTTATATTCCTTTTTCGGCTTAACCGCCACAGTGTGTGTGGTGATTCAACTAGGCCACGGCAATGACTCAACATAAGTGTCGTCCATTAGCTGGAATAGTCCGTTGAACAATAGGAGCGGCTGCGCTACCTCAAAATGGCGCTCAGACTATAAAGGCTGTTATGGTTACTATAATTAAATATAATGTTAATCATTGATTATAGTTTTACTGAACGATACTTGATGTTTGAATTTTTTTTATGTATACCCTTATCATATTTGTATTTGGTAAATGCGTGAACCTACTTTTTTCTTTTGTTCTAAACTGCGCTCTTTTTGTTTGTTTGTAAAAGAACAATGCAGATCTTTGTAAAGACCCTCACTGGCAAGACCATCACCCTTGAGGTTGAGCCAAGTGACACTATTGAGAATGTGAAGGCAAAGATCCAGGACAAGGAAGGCATTCCCCCCGATCAGCAAAGGCTGATCTTTGCTGGCAAACAGCTGGAAGATGGCCGCCCCCTCTCTGACTACAACATCCAGAAAGAGTCCACCCTCCATCTTGTCCTGCGTCTTAGGGGTGGCATGCAGATCTTCGTCAAAACCCTCACTGGCAAGACCATTACCCTTGAGGTTGAGCCCAGTGACACCATTGAGAATGTGAAGGCCAAAATCCAGGACAAGGAAGGCATTCCCCCTGATCAGCAGAGGCTGATCTTTGCTGGCAAACAGCTGGAAGATGGCCGCACCCTCTCTGACTACAACATCCAGAAAGAATCCACCCTCCATCTTGTCCTGCGTCTTAGGGGTGGCATGCAGATCTTCGTCAAAACCCTCACTGGCAAGACCATTACCCTTGAGGTTGAGCCCAGTGACACCTCCACCCTC